CAACACTCTCCGTGAAGACGTCATGATTTTTTTGATGAATGTGTATTTTCTGGCAGAGCTCTTCTGTCAGCACTTTTTAATGTTCTCTAAATAAGACCCAAAAATCCTATTGTAATTTGCAAAGGTAACTTGTCAGGAATATAAAACAGTCTCTAATTGTCTGGACTTAGGAAGGAGAAATTAATTGGCTTTTTAAGCCTTGGTCTTTGAAGACTGTGCCATATGTTGGAGGAGAAAGTACCTCGTCATGGCCAAAATATAACAGTTTCTGCATCGATTTTTCTTAGGTATGTATCTGTGTGTAATATACTTAAATGTGCTATCCTCATGGGTGACTATAAATTTTTAGATTTTTCCTCAAAGAAGGCAATAAAATTACTTTTGGATTTCTCAAACTGATGCTTCTACCATTCCCGTGCATGATTTGGGAGTATTGGGATCTGCCAAGTTGCAAATGAAGTTACATTAATTTCAAAGTCAGCCCTGATTAGCTCTACACAAGGTTTGTTTCCAAACCATGCAATTTGGATTATCATACATAAGGTAATACCTGGGTCTATCAACGTAATGGGATATTTTATCGTGAACTTCCATTGCATTTTGAGTAAGAACAGTCTATTACACAGCAGAGCAAAAGGAGAATTTTTTTTCACTGTGTTATCTTCTTACAGATCTGATTTATCTTGCCCAAAGTGACAATGCTTTTGACCTCCTTCAAAATTATATGCTATGTTGTAAGCACCGATAGCTTTCCATCTTTTTACCCATCCTTTATTCTGAGTCTGTGAACTCTGAGCTACTAAATTACACGTTGATAATCAGAACAGAAAAAGTGGAAAAGGGTAGGTGAACTTGTTAAAAATGCATTCAAATTACCTAGTTCTGCAAACCAGCTAAGTAAGAAAAAAGCCATTAATTCACTTGGAGTTCTTATTTTTTTGGTATCATGTTGCTCAGTGAGGAAGACTAGAAACACTGGTGGGATTGAAGTGGGAGGAAGAATGTGACTGGTGGGGACTCACTCAAGAGAGAAGACCAGAGACTGTAGTGGGACACGGAGGGGCTGCCTGAAGGATGGTCACACAGAAGTTTCACCTGAACCTTTTCCTAAATCCTTCTGTTCTTCCTGCAGTGTCTTTGTTTGCTGAGAAGTTGAGCATGCAGCCTTCTCTCTTGCTGGGCATTGGACCCAGCAAGGATGGTACAGTTTGCCCTGAGCTGAGCTGAGCCGAAATGGGCTCTGCAATGCACACAGCCTGACACGGAGGTGCCAGCCTCTGCTTCACAGTCCTGTTTCCAATATGGAAAGACAAATGGCTTTTCCTGTTAGTTTTTTTTCATTTATTTTGAGTATATTCTTACAATTTGGAATAGCTGTGGCCCTGTGGGAGACATTCCAAGTGCAAAATAGAAGATGGAACCAACTAGTCACAGTGGCAGTAATGACTTGCAAGCTGGTTGCTGCGCATTGCACATGCAACTTTTTGCTGGCAGACAGGGTGAGAAGGATGAAGAGCTTGAGTGTGTATGTTGTATCATCACAGAAGTTGTTTGTTATTTTCCATGCTCTACAAGGTCACATAAAGCAAGCCCAAAGGGGTAGTGCTGGCATGTGTGCTGCCCAGTCAGAGATTACTCAGTGGAGCTCTGACCCTGTCCCGGTGTGCACAGAATACCAGGTCTAGCTGCATGTTTGGGCACTCCAAGAATGCTTTTGCACTCTGACTCTGTAACTTGAACTCTTTTAAACTCTATTGAAAACCCTGATTGGCTTTTAGAGCAAAAAACCCTATGTAAGTAAATATATTCTCCATACACACCCCTTTATGGCAGAGGAGAGAGAAAAATCTGAATTTTATGTACAGTCATAATTGTATAATCATTCTGAGAATAGGAAACTAGGCAAAGCCACTCTTTCATTTGACTGAGTAAAGCTTTGAAAAGTAAACAGTGCATGTATGGAACACTGAACTCTTTTCATATCAGTATTTTCTGGGTAAGTGTAATTTAAGTCAATGTAAAAATCTTTAAAAAGTACAAATTTGCTATTTAAGTTTCTTATGCAGACAGTTGGCTCTCTATATGGGATATATTTGTGTACTTAGATAGAAAGTCATATTTAAATAATTTATTTTAGGCTGGTCATTAACTATGCATAACCCAATTCAGGTTAAAATTCAGTTCTTTTCCTTCAGTGTCGTTCTTGTTATATTGCATATCAGTAAATTATGAATCAGTTGTGCTCACTTTGCCAATAAAGGCTGTTTTTTAAGACAATGAGATTATACAGGGGCTTTCATAATTTTATTTAATCAACAATTAGATTGATGTTTGAGTCAGAAAGTGATTCAGCTTGCTTTTTCAGAGCTGTATGGGTTCTGCATGACCAATGGGACACAAAGCCTGAATATTTATTTCAGGAAGGAGAGGAGGTAGCAGGTTCTATGTGGCTGGAGCAGGACTGCTGGGTAAGAAAGGATTGTCCTATCCAATATACCTGGCAGTTTTCCATAATCACTTATCAAAATAAACTTGTGCAGCTACTGAAAATTTAGTTACACCAAACTACTTTTCTATGCTTCTGACTGCTTTTGTCTCTCTAAAGATGGAGTCCAGCATGTACCTTTTGTCCTTATCCACGTGTCTCAAGACCAGCATATTTCACGTCGTTGGACTTAATGCTTTATGAATTCCTGTTTGCTATAGACAAGATTTAAGATGTTATTCCCACTCCCAGCTTCTGCTTCTGAAGGCAGGATTTTAAAAACTATCTCTGCGCTCTACCTGGAAGGTTGCCTGAGCACTGGAGTTGAATTCAATAGCTACTCAAGATTCCATAACTAGGAATACACTCTGTGCTTTGTGTTGTTATCAGAAAGCCATTACTGCTGTAGAATATAAAAACCTGATTAAGTTGTGGGAAAGAAGGAAGTGAGGTGCTATAAGTTGTTCATACAGAATCATTTGTAGAGCATTTTATGTCAGCTGTAACACTCGGTTGGATGCTAGCGGAACATAAATCTCCTGATCAGAATAAGAGTACTTTTTGCTAAGAGGCCTTATTATTGGACTAGCAGTTAAGGTTAAGTTAGTATATCTACTCTAGCCCCATAGTTTTCACTTGATAATGAAAACCTTCTATCATTTAAACTGAAATTTTCTTCTCTGTCCTTACTGAAACATGGTTTGTGTGGGGCTCTTTACTCTGGTCTTATTATGTAGAGGAATGTGCTTTCAACCAAAGCGTTTCACTTCCATTTTCTCAATCTCACTGATTAAAATTTGAAAGTAATCTTTAAATAGATATTTTTTCACTACCACACTTGTAAAAAAAAATAAAAATCCATGTTTGTTTGCTTTTTTGGCATTCTTTGCAGTCTGAAGGTTTTACTCTTTCAGTGTCTTGATGCTATCTTTCTGTCCTTCTAATAGCTTGAGTTCTTCGGGGTGCCCCCAAACATTAAGGCTTAAGAGCAAGTCCAACCACAGTATTTGTGTAGTTCCTCATAGTATTGTTTCATGGAAAATTTCTGCAAGCTATAGTTGTTGCTGTAACTATGAATGTGAGCTGAGACCCAGGGGTACTGGAGAATGAGACCTGACTGACACGGTAGTGGATCTTTGGAGAGCCAGACTGTATAATGACAAATCCCATGCTCTGATCCAGTGGGAGAGCTGATTCTGAGATCCAAGCAGCCATGCAGTGCAAGGAAGACTTGCTTGAACTAAGGTGCAGTATTTACTGGTTCAGTTCTTGGTTTGGGATTATAGTCATGTCACTGTCTTTTTCACAGAGATGTAGAACTGCTCTGAAGTGCTTCCCTGTCCACTGGGTTTGTCCATGCTGCTCTTCTCAGGTGTATTGGTTTTCACTGCTTCCCTAGGAGAATAGAGAATGTCCCCTGCCTTTACCTGGTGACTGACACTGCCATGAGGTGGAAGAATAAACTACCACTTTTAAAATGGAGCTTAATTAGCTTATGGAAGGGATTACGAGAGAGAGGGCTGTAAGGACTGGTGTCTGTGTCCCTGGTATTGCAGGCTCAATGTTCCTAATTTGGCTTAATGTAATCTGATGTTTGACTGGCTAACCTCATTACACTGATACAATGCTGCCAATCCTTAGAGCCTCCTCCTTTTTTTGTTTACGCCTTCTCTTATGAAATAGTTGAAACTGGCAGAGAACATGCACGATCAGTGAAAAGCTAGAGTAATGACAGTGTGGGACTGCAAGGCTTATTACATTATGGGAGGAAGAGGACCACTGTATATGTGCCTTGTACTGCTAAAAATATTCCCTGTGACGTGGGACAGTGATACTAGCCACATGGTAGCTGTGGCTTATTCTGGTAATGTGCTCTCTTTGGAGTATCAGAGTGCAGGATAAGGTTCCAATGTGGTGGCAGACACACAAAACTCAAAAACACATAGGCGTGACCTCTGTGTGACTCTGTGTGGAGCAGAGGCAGATTTGAGAGTCATGGAATTAATGAAAATGAACTGGGCAGGGATTAGAGCTGCAAGAGAAAAGGTGGGATCAGGTTCTAGTGCCTAGGAATCATGTCATCTGGGATGAGGGCAGCACTCTCTCTGGAGGGCTCAGGCACCATCCTTCTGGGACATGTTGAGGAAGGCACTGTTTCAACAAGGGTATGGACAAATAAAAGACTATCCAGAAAAAGCTGCTGAAGATAAAAGGTGCAGATAGTGTAGAAGTGGAGAAATTAAATGCATGCTGGCCAAAAGGCCTGCGTGCTACAAACTAATGAGTGTGCAGAGCAGAGGAAGAAACTTTTCAGAGTGTGTTGTATCATATAGGAGGAAGACACAGAATATGGGGAGAAGTTTCCTGGTGAAGTCTGTCAGGCAGTGAGTACATGCCATCACTTTGGTCTTGTTTTCCTGCTCTAGGACAGTTAATCATGCTTAAATTTCTTGTGTTAGACATGACTTGTGGTAATCAGGAGCGTGCCTATCTTCCCTTCTTGTTTTTATTCTAGGTCCAACACGAAAAATGCCCCTGACTGCCAGTGCCATGGACTTCTTTCAGCTCTTTGTCCCTGACAATGTACTAAAGAATATGGTGGTCCAAACCAACATGTATGCCAAGAAGTACCAGGAGAGGTTCGGTAGTGACGATGCCTGGATTGACGTCACCTTGACAGAAATGAAGGCCTTCTTAGGCTACATGATATCAACCAGCATCCACCACTGTGAGTCTGTTCTCAGTATCTGGAGCAGCGGCTTCTACAGCAACAAGAGCATTGCACTTATCATGACACAATCACGGTTTGAGAAGATCCTGAAGTACTTCCACATTGTGGCCTTCCGCTCGAGCCAGACAACGCATGGCCTCTACAAAATCCAGCCTTTTCTGGACTCTCTGCAGAATGGCTTTGACTCTGCTTTTAAACCTTCACAAGCCCAGGTAAGAGTTAATCTGTTGTCAGGGAATGTCCAATCTGTGCGCTCTTGGTTGTCTATCTCTGATGGATAACGCAGAGCACCGCTGCCTGAAGAAGAGCTGGGGCTTCACAGTGTGAAGCCATGCTGTAGTGCCACCATGAAACAAGAGAGAAAGCAGCAGTGTCCTATGCGAGTGCTCATCGGTGTCTGACTGCAGTGCTGCAGTGCATGCACCAAGCATGTTTTGGTGGGAATAGTGCTCCCTGAGCTGGAGCTGTTTGCCTTAGTGGCCTAAACATGCCTGGAGACTTCTCAGTGAGGCTGGTGCCACTAGGTTTTGCTATCATGAGGATGGGAGCTTTGCCTGTGAGGCAGAGTGGAAAGGGCAGAGCTGATGCAGCTGGGCAGCAGCTGATGCAGCCACTCCTGCTACAGGCTGAGGGTTGGATGGAGGAACTGAGTTTGCTAGGAATGACTGTCCCTGACCTTAGCAGAAGGTGCTTGCTGTATGTTCCAGTAGCACAGCTACCTCCTCACAACTGGGCAAAGGGAAGATAAGCAGGGGGAAAGTTGAAAATATTTTCTTAATATTCATCATACACTATTTAAACTTTGTTCCAGTGTTAAGTGATCTGCTTTTGGAGCTGTTGCTACTGGTCATGTTCAGAAAAAATGGAATAAGCATGAAATATATTACTGTTTGAAATAACTTGTCAATCAGCTCTCTGTTTTCAGAATATAGATATTTCACTTAGATGTTTGGAAAGGATATTGTGTCCACAGTCCTCTTTTTCTTCCTGTTTCCCTTCTGAAGCATAACATTTTTGCCCACTGCACAAAATTAATGAAGCCATAGATGCATCATATCCATTGAAGTGTGCCTAAAATAAATGGGGAGTGATTGCAGTTTATTTTATAGACAATTAAAATCATACCTGTGTAACTCATGAGAACACAGCTGCCTAAAAAGCTGTTAAGGTAGAGAGGGGAGGAGCAGGTGTTCTCACTAAGCCATGCCAGCAAGGTATGTTTCCATTAAGACAAAACAGACAGTGAGAGACAAAGTATTGTTGGGACTGAGCTCTCATTAAGGTATGAAATCTAATCTTTATGGCCGCTGACTTCAGTGGGCAGAAGATAAAGGCTTCAGAAATGTGATCACTGTGTCTAATGTAAATGCTTATAATGGTGTGCTGTGGGACATGCTGTGAGTGAAAATCCATTAAAGGATAAATTTGATTTGCATATATATCCCTTTCCCCCCTTTCCCAGTCCTGAGCAAGGTTTGAGAACTGAATTGACAGAAAAAATCACAGCATCCTGTTTGTACTGGCTAAGTATCTAAATCTCCTCAAGCAAAATATATGCTTGTCCTGAGCTTGGTAAGGAAATGCTACTTAAAAAATATGGGGGAAGAAGTAGAGACAGCTAGTTCTCTTTCTTTCCCTTCCACTTCTCTGCTCCCTTGTCAGTGTTTACGTCAGTGAATTCTATGCAGCATGTTTCAGTGGTATTGAGTGGAACAAAAAGCACTAAATACAGCTTCAAAAATAACCCTGTGAGAAAGAATAAGGGTTTGAATCTGTTGTTAAGAATACCCTAGTGTACCTCCAGTAGCCTACTGGGGGATGCTCCAGGCCTCCTCCTGAAGGGAGCCTTATGCGTAACATCCTCCTGGGTGCCATCAATCAGGGCTGCACACTACCTGTCTCAAGAAATGAAGACCCCATCTGCTTATAACAGCAGGAATGACCTCTCCCTGCAAATTGTCTTGAGTCTGCAGATTAGCAGACCGCAGTAAACATAAAACCCAGATTGTCAGGTCCAGGGCAAAATAATAGAAATAATTAAAAATGATAACCCAGTTGCACAGAAACAAGTGGAAAAGATGAGGGGAAGGAGCCATTTAGATGGGCTTTTGGATGCGCTGCCTCTGAAAATAGTTTGGAAAGAGTTGCCCAGGTTTCTGTAGTCAGGGATCCCTGAAATCCCACGTTCAAAATGGAATTGTTGCTTAAGGTACACCTGTATCTTAGACATGAGACTTGTGCTACCTGGGTGGCTTATGTTCAAGCTTTATGCTACTATATTGTAAGCAGCATCAAGCAGCGGAATGACTTGTGTTCCTTGCTGTGGAATGCAGCAGGGCTGTTTGGGCTTGTAAGTAGACTTGGTACTGACCACCTTCTTCTGGCAGTGTGCACTCACAGAAGTTAGGAAGATGCCACGTTTAACTCACCCCTATGGACAGAACAGAGATAATCTGCATTCAGAGGCAGTGCAACACCTGCCCTCACAGTTGTTTCTTCCGTAGATTTGATCTTTTCTTTTTTGGAGTGCTAGAGAAAATTCTTCAAGTGGAATTTCTGTCAGAAAATGCTTATGGTTTTTTTTCCCTCATCTGTGACCCCTCCCCCGCTCCCCAAAATGTGCCTGTAAAAATAACACCACTGTTGCTATGAAAAGAAACAGGGAGAGAGAGAACTATGCCAATATACCAAAACAAAGAAAACAATCTAGTGAATTATAATTATTTCGCTAAATATACTGAGCAAACAAAAGGAAATAATTACTCTTCAGCTTACGAAGGAATTGAAAGCCCAGAACATTATAATTGTGTATCAGCAGTGCTAGCTTCACTTTCTGAAGTTAAAAAATGGTGTTCTGACCTAGATTGGATAAAAAATGACAGGAATATTCTCTGCATCTTATCTCTCCTCAACATCTTCTGTGTAAATAAGTGCTGCCTCTACCTGAGCAACAAGAGGTGGAGCTTTGGGTCTGTTCCTGTAATCAGTGTTGTTTCTCCACTGCTTAGCTTGGTAGCTGTGCTGCTGCTGTCTGCAAGCCTGAAGGCAGGGAAGATGCCCTGCCTGCACTCAGGAGGTATACTGCACCAAATTCAAGGGTACTCGCCTGCCAAGGATATACACTGGATTCCAGAAACCAGAGGAGTTCAGGGAAAATAACATCACTGCTCAAATATCCTTCTGTGCCTGCTGAGTGTTTATGTGCTTGACATCAGGATGTGACTAGACAGGACTGCTGTCTTTGGCTGCCCCTGACTGGTGTGGGAGGGGTCAGGAGCACAACTCCAGGTGCTCTCCCATTCCCTGCTCCTCCAACGTACCTTCTCTTTGGTGTCTTCGAACCAAACAGTTTTGCAGCTGGCCAGTGAAATGTCAGCTGGAAACAGTGGGCTTAAGTTCTTATCTTTAGCTGGAGTGAAAGAGAGGTGTAACTCAACTTCTTGCTCCACAGGCATGGTGCTAAACTTTGGCTTATTACTAGGCAGCTTGTTTGTGTTTCACTCTTGGTGGTATCATAGGATACAGCAATTTCAACATATTTCTTCCAAACCAGCTCACAGATTAGATGACAGCTTCTTTGAAAACACAGAGTGGAATAAACAGGCTGATCAACTTGCTTTTGTGTCCTCATGAATAAAGTTCATTTGACATTGAGTGTTTCCAAATTATAAGATCTTGCTCACATCATACCTCTGTGTTGCAGATTTGCTGTTTTCAAAATGATTCTGTAGGAGTTGAGGGTGCTGGTTCCAAACCAGAACCTTTCTGTCTTAGGGCTTTTGTGAGTGTGACACAGATACATAAATATTCAGAGAACGCTGGCCTGGCATAAGATGTGGAGCAACAGAAAGACAGACTGAGGAACAATAAGAATACTGAACAGGAAGGTAAATTTCTGATGTTCTGTAGCTCTTGGCCAGTTGACCTTTTGGTGAAGCCAGATTTTAGGGAGAGTTCGGGTTAGGGTTAGAGAAAATGATGAAAATTCATTGCTATTTTGAAATTACCTAATGGTAATGGAGTGCTGTAAGAACTGAGTTTTTGTTTTTTAAAAGGGTTGATTAAGACTGAACAAATAGGCAGAGGAGCATGTAATCATGGCTCCATTGGAGGTGGGAGTTAACCTTTGAATGAGGGCAAAAAGGATCCATACAATGTAGATAGGCCAGTCAAGACTTTGAAAGTGAGAAGAGAAAGAATCTTTCTGATATATTGGAGGAGAACTATCAGAGAGAAATAAAGAAAAATTATGTGGTCAGAGTGATGGACTAGGAAAATGGCTTTCCAGCAGCAGTCTGTAGGGCAGGATTGCGTTATGTTAAGGCCAAAACTAAAACTCTTTCAGGGTGGTTGTGGGCTTGGATGTAAACTTGGCTGGGTGGGTGAGTTGTTACTCTAGAATGACTAACATTTTAGAGCTCTTACTCAGAAAGAATTAAAAATACAGGCATTACCTGGCTGAGAAGACTTTTCAAGGAGTAGGAGGTAAAGACTGACATTCAGATTCACTGGCCAGTGATATCTGCAGCAGGAAGAGAAGGAGGTCAGCAATGACCAAAAAAGGAGATAGTAAGAGGTTCTTAAGAGGAGGAGATGTTCTCAAATGCAGCATAATGAAATCAGAACTGACAGCTAGATGTGCAAGCAGAGATGTCAGATACCAGCGAGAGAATTTAGTTTAGACAGGAGGAGCTTTGGAGCAAAGAAGCAGAAAGCTTCTATTGCAGAAGCAGTGAGTGACTGTGCATAAAGGTGCAGTTACCCAGAGGACTCTGTTTGCAACTGGATGGTACCCACCAAAAGCCAGAGACAAGGCAATCTGAGGCAGTTTCTCCAGGAGACAGGCTGAAGAGGCAGCCTGTGCTGTGGATGGCCATGGAGCTGAGGAGAAGATGAGTTATCTCAAGGACATGCTGGTTCATTATCTAAGTAAATGGAGTGCAGGAATTCCAAGTACAAGGCTTAGTGGTCCTGGGGCTTTGTCTACAAGCCTGTTTGGGCTGTGGTGAGAGCAAGATGGGTGGAACTTTGGTGTGGAAAGAGTGTTGGAAATTATGTAAAATGGAGGAGAAAGAAAGGCACTCCTGACAGTGGCTATCTGTTTTGTTCCATGAATGAAAGATGTTGTGAGGGGGAGAAATTTCTGGAGTCCCATCTTGGAGTCTTATCTCTCCAGCACCTGACATGTATGTACATATTAAGAGGAAAACAAAGAGTGAGAGTTTAGCAAGTAGATCTAGCATGATCTACTGAGGATGATGAGGATGACTATAAAGCAGAGAAAAAAAATTAAAACCCAGTGTGATAGCTGTGGGGAAGCAAAGCAACTATATGCGGAGCTTCTTAGACCTGAACAGAACTGGGAATTTGAGGGAAGAAAATGGGGATGATTTGTATGAAGAAATCCACAAGATTTTCTTGCATCAAAGGAAGTCAGGAAGAGGGAAGGGCTTGGGGAGTGAGTCAAAGATGGTGAAGAGGCGGCCAGGAATATGTGTAGGAGTCAATTAAGCCTGAATGTAGATTTTTATCAAGATGAGAAGCAGGAAAGAATATGCCATGGGGGCAGTAAGCTCACTCCTGTAAAAGTGTATATTTCAGCAAGAAAGGGGAATAGGGAAGGAGCAAATATCACTTTGCATGGGGATTGGGCAAGTAGATGTATTTAAGATTACAGAAGGAGCAAGGAGACTGAGAATGCAGGAGGGTGAACAAACTGATGGGGCTGGCCAGTGGCAAGAGGGCAAACTTTTGTTGTAATAAAACCATGTCAGTGCCAGAAGGAACAAATTTCTCCCTTTGAAAACAAGATGGGGATCAGCTGTTCCGCCAGCAGGCACAGCCCATACAGTGCTCTGCTTACAAAGTTCTTTACATCTGTTGAAGCAGTGGTTGCATATGGAGGGGTGACAACACTTGTCTCCCCACCCTCTCTAACAAAAGCCAGAAGAGCAAGCTCCAGGGTTTTCATTTAATTTTCCTTGCCTGTCCACATTCCTTCTTTGAAGCAACAGCAAGTCTTGCCCTACTCTGTTTACATTTTTGTTCCCTCTTCACATCTGTTCAGTAGGGACTTCAGTGGAACATTAGTCTCCTTATGGAGACATGACTTAAACATTCAGTATAGGGAAACAAAGGAGAGGAAGCTCTGGGTCCTAGAGGAAGGCAGGGCTGAGCATGGGCAGGGAGAGGAAGAAGATGGAGAGAGGTTTTAAAAATTCAGATTAGCTTTCTAAATGTAAGGCTGACAGGCCTTACTGTTTCATAGAAGGCAGAAAGAGTGTGAAGGGTAAGCAGGATGCAGTAGAGCTGCTGCAGAGAGTTGATGCTGTGGTGCACTGGAGGGAGAGAAGCTAGACAGAGGGTAAAAGATGTCCTAAAGTGATGCTTATACAGCCTTTTCTTTACGCTGCTCTCCATCCTACAGCAGGGGAGATTTTAACAGTGGAACAACACGACTCAGTGGGATCTGGCAGGTAGAAGGCCTTTCCAGAAGTGAGAAATTCTTAACCGTGTATCTGACCCCATCCCAAGGGATGTGCTCCCTCTCTCTGCACCAGAGAGGTGGAAAGGCAAAAATGCGGATGAGGGCATGTTTAATATTTGCAAAATGCTGTCAGAATCTTCTGAGGTGGAAGTGGGAAATGCCCCAGGTGGCCTTTAGAAGGGAAGGGCTCTGTTCTGTGCGGACCTTGAGAGAGGAAGAAGATTTGGCTCCAGTGGGGAAATGGGGCAGCTGCAGCTATAAGAATAAATAGCTTTGTGTGCAGCTCTCCTTGTTCACATCTGCGTTTTGGTGTATAATTTGAACATTTCACAAGAGTGCTTTCAGATGTTCCTGTGAATGTTTTATGAGTCGTTAAGAAGTGGAGTGCGTATAAATGACAGTGTGCAGCCATCGCTTTGTGTGGAGGGCACGGGTGCCTATTTTGGGTTGACAGTAATGTTCAACAAACATCTTGTATTCAGGAGGCCAACAGCTGCTCGTCACTGGTGCTTAACTGCTTGCCCTTCACATCTCTTCTGAAAGCATTTCACAGGTTTAATACAGCTTTGTCTTCATTTTCACCACTGTGCACAGATGTGCACAAAAGCAGCACACACACAGGTGTGGAAAGGATTGGTCTGGGGGTGAGAGCCTCTGATTCTGTCTCCTGGAGGGATGGCCACTGGGAAAGAACGGGCTCCTTTAGATATATATATAACTCATCTGACTTAATTTACATTCTATTTACACTGCTCCCTTCATGTATTAGGAGGGGAGCCTGAAAGCTACTTGCTCTGATTTGGATATAGATGTCTGAATTTGGTCAGCATTCATCAGCTGAGATCTTTCAGCAGTTTGCAAGCCTTTGCCTTTTCAAAAGTGACTTGCTAGGCAACTTGCATGCAATGCACTCAGGTATGTGTGTGTTATGAACAGCTACCTTGTGAGCTGCGAGGAGGTTCGAGTAATTTTCTATTGGTGAGTTCCACAGTGTAAAACGTAACAGTTTTGATACTGAATTAATGGAGAGAAGTGTAACAAAACTGTTAGAAGGATCAGGGAACTTATATCATATGGATGCAGAATGCAGATTGCTACTTACTCCAGTCTACCTTGTCTTTTTCTATTCCTTCCTCTGGTGCTTTATCTTTGTCTCCTTTTGTCAAAGTTTTCAGCTCCTGAGGTAAGAGAGGCTTCCCTGAAGCTGCCGCCACCAGGAGAGCACCACCTCCTTAAGTGGCAACAACAAATACCTTTTTCTCCTGTAATTTCTCCCTCTCTTTGATGTGTATTTTCCTTTAATGTAACCAAAGAATGTACTTTACAATATATTTTAGGGGATGTTTGGGTGGAAGACATTCTGCCAAACAAGATGAAGCTTATGATGAAGCTTGGAGAAGGATGCTGCTAACAATCCATTCTCCCTGCCCCATCCCTCGCGTCATTTTGGGGGGATGTTGAACTGTAGCTGATAGTAAGAAGTGAGAGCCATGCCTTCCAGTATTTGCAAACCACATGTAGAGCAGCTATCCACAATGGAGTGTGCTTGGCTAGGCTTTGGTTTTTGTTGGATGGTAGCATGGAACAAAAAGTGGGTTTGCTTCTTTGTATGGGGTGATGTGCACAAGCACAGTGCAAGGGTTGTATTTCCTTGAAGGAAGTTAAAGAAGTCATGTATTCTTCTGTTTCTTTCCCCATCTCTTTTCTTGTCAATTGCAGGTACTACATGAGCCCCTCATTGATGAGGATCCTGTTTTCATTGCTACATGCACAGAGAGGGAACTGCGCAAGAGGAAAAAGAGGAAATTCAGTCTCTGGGTTCGGCAGTGCTCATCCACTGGTTTCATCTGCCAGGTGGGTTTTACCTCTTCAAATGTCTTGATTCAGTTCCAGCAAGCCCTTAAATGTATTGCAGGACCAAAGGTAACAGTCACTTCTCTTCATTACGTTGCTGGGGGCTACAGTCTGAATGCAGCTGGTCTCTGACTCCCACAGATAGATCCTGATGCTCTGTTTGCTGTATGATTTAACTGAGAGTGTCTGTCTCTACTACTGTCCATCTGGCTGCCAGCCCTAAGCTAATTAAATTGAAATGCAGTTAAAAGGTCTGTGTGTTTGTACATCCTAAGTTTATCTAAATGACTAGGTACTGTGACTTCTGTCATTTTTAATGAGTCAGCTTCCCTCTCTCTAAGTATAACACTGTATCTACAAGAGCCAGTGGTGTCCAGTAGACTAAATCAATATGGTATCAAGTTGTCAATTTTTCTGTGAGAAACATATTAATGGGGATTCCTATTACATATCTTTTCACACATCTACTTCTCCATCAAAGAAATAAAATCTGATGTGACTTCGAGGTGAAATATGAGCTGGAGTGGGAGACATGCTAAAAGACTTGTTTTTAGTGTTGTGAAGCAATGGGAACATCTTTTTAAATTCTCGGATTGCAGAATTGCTGATTTATTTCCAGAGCTTTTGAAAAATCTGGTCATTTATTTTGAAACGTAGAGGTCAGGTGGCAGACGTTTTCTGATACTTCTTTTTCCCAGGTGCTTCTGTGAAAATGTTTCAGAGTGGTGGTTCAGAGGTGCAGGTAGCACGTGCACATTGCTTGCTCAGGCTGAATGCATGTCAGAACTGCAGGGCCTGTGAATTTGCTACACTTGGACATTTGTTCAGAGTAAAGTTTGGTCAGTGAATCATTACAACCATTTGAGTAGCCGTGCAAGAAAAGAGGCTCACTGGGAACAGGGGTTTTGCATTTTCAGCAGTGCTGTTCACTCTTAGAAGAAACTTGGGATCGTACATCTTCCATTCAGGTTTTAAAGCAGCTGTTTTGTCTGATACAAAACGGACTGACCTTGTGAAGCATCCTTTAAAGTTTCTGCTCTCAAGGCTCTTGGAAAGTCATTTGCTATATAGAGGCAGTGTTTTTGATCTCCAAGGAGAACACCACCAGTCCCACACACAGTTTATTACTGAAGCATACGGGGTATAGGGAGCACAAAGTTTGCTCACCTCTCTTGCCATGCACCCCTCAGCCAACTGCCACCAAACGAGTCTTCAGATATGCCAGACGCTTCAGATTCTGAGCTATAATTATGTTGCACCTCCATCCTGTCTATTGAGAGAGTAAATTATTGGAATGTAAAATTAAACAGAATAGATGCTCAGCACCACCCTAATTCTCCTGCTCCCTTAATGAATTAGATATGCATGCTTCACTTGCATCCGGATGACGTCCAGGATTATCTTACCAGCTGCCTTCTGTTTTCATTCCATGACTTGGCTGTCATTATCAACATGCTAAAATGGTTGGGTGAAGAGTACCTTAGAGAAGGGTGAAAAAGAATATATAGGAATGTGAACATTCACGCTAAATGGATAACACCTAGTCTGGGGAGGATGGGCATCTTCAGCTTTATATGCTGGAAATACTATGTTCATTTTTGTGTCACACTTAAGAGGGATCTTGCAGAATCCAAAGCACTTATTTGATGGTTGTTTGGTTTATTTACAGTATTGAAACAGAGGGGTTATTTTGCTATGTTTACCATATGGAGAGAATTGATCTAAACCAGTAGAAAATTCAGTGTTTTCCCCTTCATGTGCACACTCTCCCCTTCATCTCTTGTGAAGCTGCCATCATGAAGGAAAGACTAGTTGCCTGTTAGTTAAGGACTGACTGGTCTAGCACCTGTCTGCTGTTACAAAAACATTACAGAACCCACTTGGAAATATGCAGAAATTCTGTTATACTGCCTGGATGAATTCCCTCCCTCATTGTTTCCACATGGTGACATTGGGGTCCTTTCATTCAAGATATAATAGGACTATCAATACTTCAGAAATCAGGCTAATGCAGTTTCAAAAGTCTGAATAATATATATCTATAAGAAAGTGAGACAGCCCAAGCAAAAGAAAAAGTGAACTACTTATGAGTGGTTCTCAGGAATGGAAGGAACCTCAAGAGGTCTATGATGCTCCTGGCCAAAAACAAGGTCCTCTGAACCTGATTGATAAGCCTGATGTTAAAAAAATCTCCATTTGAGGAGATATCCTAGGTTTCCCACTGTTCTCGTTTTCTACGATGGAAAGGGTTGGTTGGTTTGTTTTGCTAATGTAAAATGGTTATCAGTGTTTTGAAGCCACATGCTGAGCTACTCTGGGAACTCTGGTTGGCAGCTCACAGGTCAGTTGTTAATGTCAGGAATTTCAGCTGTTTGATTCCCCAAATTCCTCTTTCTGCTAATTCTCATGAACAAAACCAAATCATATTTTTGGGTGTGAGTAAATACTCCTATTTGATGAGTCATCCTTTACTTTTTTAAGCAAATGGTGTTTGGTTAAAAATCCAGCCCAATAAGCCATACATGGAACAGAAGTGGCATAAGACCCAAGTGCTGCTTGTGGATATAGGAAGGTGCATAGACTTATATATGCATAATGCAAATAATGTATATACATATTTTAGACTACTTTTCTGTAGTACAGGTAACCTGACTCCACCCTGACAGTTAAGTCTCTGCTTTAAGATGGGTGCACAATTTCAGAGCGTACCTCTGCTTTGGAATTTCTCAAGCAAAGCATCTTGTTACAGTGAATAGCTTTGTTGCTGAGTATCTTTTCACGGTCAGCTGGTCAAGTGGGAACGTGCAGGAAGGACACATCATTCAGACAATGTAAATGTATGTCTACTGCAGTTGGGAACATGAACAAAACCTTTCAGAGGGTTCGGAAGGGCTCCAGGAGAGCTGACTTTGGAAAAGTAGATGGCAAAACTGCCCTGATACTGTTGCCTTTTTCATCTGCCCTGATACTGGACATCAAGGTGTCAGCAGCTGCTGCTGCAGGAGAGGGCTTGGGCCAGCTTGCAGACCTCAGGTGTCCCTCTCTGCTCCATCTTCTCTCTGCTTTCCTTGCTTCCCTCCATTCTATTTCCCTGTATATTGGTTAGCACTTATATTTCTTTACTTACCACTAAGGCACTTTTCAAGCCAATATTTTTATGTCTTGATTGCAGTTTAAATGGTTCCAGTACCTAAGAAGTCTCTCTTTCTTAGAGCATTTGCTGAGTAAGTCATCCTATTTAAATCAAAACTCCAGTTGTGTCAGGTTTTTGTCAGTTTTTATTTCTCTCTCTCTCTCAAAATCTGGAACTCTTGCTTGTAAAAGATGTTCATAAATATGATTTGTAAGAATCTTTTTCATTTTATATATAGCAGTATTGCTCATCAAAAAATGATGAAGTGAGCGGCACAATATATCTATCTGGTCAGGGCTAGTTACTTTGTCCTTCGTAGGGGGCACTATGCTCTCTCTTTGCATTTCTTGTGTGGCTCAAAAGGAATGACCGTCCTTATGAGCAACTGTTACTAAGTGATGCCTAGTCCTTGCATAGCTCCTCTTGCACAAGAAGGTTTTCTGGTGATTTTGCAGGAGAAGGAAGCACAGGATGTTGGTGAACCTCAGCACTGAACACCTTGGAGAGTCAGGCAGAACAAGCTATTCCCATAGTGCCTCATCCTGAACCACAGACACTTAGCACAAATGTAACCCTAAGACAGTCCTTGACCCAAAGAGCCATCAATCAGCAAAATGGAAGGCAATGTGTAGATGGCAGAGAGCGCTGCAAAGCGACAATCAGGCAATATTAATCACTGTGATAGGCGGTAATGGAATTTGCTCATCAATGTAATTATTCACTTAAAAAACCTGATATCATGGTGAGAAAGAAATTACTTTATGGATGTCTATATGCTTCCCTATTCATTGAGATGAATTTTATTCTCTGAGGCTATACTGTACACTTTTCTCTTTCCACACCCCCTTCCCTGCCCCCACATATATGGGCTCTGCACTTGCTTTTATTCCCTGGCAGAAAATTCTTGCAATAATGCATTTCATTTTCACTAATATCCTTGTGAAATATGTTGCTCAGATTTATGAAGTCCTTCAGGTCCTTGTGCTGGGACTGAGTTTCCATATTCCACTGCTTACCCTGAAAAAGTGATGAGTCAGAATAGATTAAGGAAAAGTACTGTGCATCTGCAGCTTGAGTCTTTCCATGTTCCTGAAGGATCAGTGACTTGCATGACAGCTATGTTTAAAGAGTGAAACTTGGATGAGGGTGGCCCCTGCCTAAGAGGGTAAGAAAGGGCTCTCTCACCAAAGAACAGCAGTCTCGGTGAAGGGAGATCTTTGAGGTAACTTCACAGATCAGTGGCAGAGCTCTCAGTTGCAGCAAAAAACCCCCAAACAATGAAAACACCATGCTTTTATAATAAATGGTATAGTTCATTTCAGACAGGGTAAGTACAGTCAGTTTGAATGCTTCATAACCTTCTTGATTATTTATAGAGTAAGAATTTACTTCCAGAATTTAGAGAAACTGAGATTGTGCCCCAAAGAATTTATAATTTCACAACACACCATGTAAGTGCATTTAGTCAATGGGAAGGTAAGGTAATGGCCAGTCTTCGCGAGCGAAGATCCGGGGAAGGTCTTTCCACCTTCCAGCCTGCGCATTGGATTTTTTAGGTGAGACACAGTGTGCGCGGAACTGAGCCCACCCTTTAATCCTAAGGTTCATCTGCCGGGGCCAAGCGAGCTTGGACAGTGGCAGTGAGGTCCTTAGGACGTAGATGGGTTGCCTTTAAGGGCTAACGAGCCCCACCTGCCCGGGAGTGGCCCTGACCGGGAATCGAACCCGGGTCTCCGCGGTGACAGCGCGGCGCCTTTACCCCCTAGACCACCAGGGGCTCCAGTCAATGGGAAAGGGAGGGGTCAATAAACCTGGAATGAGTTTTGTTTTCAAGGTCAGAGTTGCAGAAGAGTTAACCATCTGTGCA